TGTGCTTTATTGCTTCTGAATGAGTGCACATTGTGTTATGTTCACTCGGGCAACACACACACACACACATACAGACACACACACAGTGACAGGGTCTTAGCGGCAGCATATTTTTAGCGTAGCAACACAAGCAGATCCTGCAGCTGACTGGTTGTTGAGCTGCATGTGGGTGGCAGCAGATACACACACACACACACACACACACACACACACACACACACACAATATCAGAGTGTTTCTCTGCGTCTGCTTAGAGAAAGAGTTTTGGCTCTGCAGACCCTCCTCAGAGGCAGAAATAATCTCATTGGTGGAGCTATACGTCAGTGGGCAGGGCTGTGACGTGACGAAGAATAGAGTTTGGACTCATTGCTGTGGGAAAGGACAGGATGCGGGGAAGAATTTGTCCTGGATCAGCAGTTTAAAGAGCTGAAACACTATCAGCCAATCGGGGACATGGTAGAGCCTCGCTTTTGATCTCAGGCTTATAGTCACATCCAATTTTTTCTCCTTCGACTGATTGTTTTTTGCACGGCACATTATTTTATACTTGGCTTGTCATTCAGGGTTTTATAAAACAGTAGAAATGATTATATATGAATTTAGATATATGGGGCAGGGGCCTATTATGTCAGGCAGTTATAATACACTGGGGCTTAAACAACATTTCATAACACTTCAACAAAGGCTGAAAATGAACTGGATTCATGATTAGCACCACAAAATATGTACAGTCACTGAAGATGACATTGTAAATACTCTATAGTTTTGATGTAACTCCTTCTGCCGTTGAATTGATTATTAATCCAAGTAAATATCAGAAATAATGACAAACCCTGATTACTAGGAAGTAAAGAAGCACCAGTAACTGATATTGTACAGTGAATTATAAGTAAGTACAATTTCTGCAGAGTCAGTGATGCAGTGGGTTGTGTTAAGACTGCAAATGTAACAACCAACCAAAATTTTACACTCGTTTTCATATGAATTTGTGCGTTTTTTTTTTTTGTGATGTTAGTATACTGTTATGCTTTGGGGTTTTGCTGTATTTGAAAAACATTAAACTTGGTGTTTTGTGACATTGTATTGGTTCAATTTAAAATAAAACAAACGCTCTAATAAGTGTGTCTGAAGCGAATCAGATTTTTGCCACATTAGGAAACGTTTGAAAAGAGAAAAAAGCACATCTCCAGGCTCAGACGTGGCTTCAGCTGCAGTCTCTCTGTCGGTCTGTTTCGGTGGTTCTGCTGTGCTGTGTTTGTGCAGAGTCATGGTGCCGTTTGCTGACTGCAGGATCCAAACAGACTCTCGGTGCTGAGTCGTGCTGCTGACTGTGTTTACCTGCTCTGTTTGTCCAGACGCCTTCAGTGGAAGTGAACACAGTGGCCGCAGTTTAATGAGAAATTAAACATGGAAGTCAGGCAGTCTACATAAACTCAGCTCATCTCTGCAGAACATCATTTACAGCCGTCATTATATTATCTGTGAAAAAATAAAAACTACAATAAGATATAGTGGTTACTATCAGTCAAGACATATTACATTAGTGTACATTACATTTCTATGTGCTACATTAGTGTCTTTTCTGCAGTTTGTCAGTCTGTCTCTGCTGTTTTTCCTCCCTCTGTACTGTAGGAGCAGCTCATGATTTTTAGTGCTGTTGCAGAGACCTGTACTGTGTCTTATGTCCTTATCTCTATCAGAAAACACACTTAGTAATACAGCAGTAATACAGCTTTCACATGAACACAAGGTGAAATGATTTGTACTTTGAAAGTTTCATATTATGAAGGGAGTCTAAAGAAGTGCATGTGTTTTCCGTTTTGTAGTGTGATCTCCTTTGGACATATATGAATAAAGAATTGCTCATATAACATAAATTTTACTTTCAGAAATTCAAGAGAGAGATAAATGTGTTTCTTTTCTCTATAAATGCCTCAAACACCTGATTCGTGTGGGTGTTTTGTTTCTCTATCTTGTAGTAACATGTGATGTCCAGAAGGGGGCACCATTCTGTCAGTCTATATCCCAGTGCAGATTAGGAAGAGGCAGCATCAACCAGCAGAGGGATTATCACATGACATCCACCGACAGTGCAGAGCAGGCAGCATTTCTCTGACTCCCTTCATTTTTTCCCACCTTTGTTAACCTTTAGTTTCACTTTGTAGTTAGAATAGACGTCATAGTTCTACATCCAGACTGTAAACTGTCAATAGTTTTAAAAAGAGTACTTTTTATGTATTTGCATGTGCATGTGAAACCTACACATTGTCATTCTTTATGAATATCTGAGATTTGACAACCAGGACACAACAGAAATGAAAACTTTTTAGCCACAAAGAAACCCCACTTTAAGGAACTTTTGCACTTTCTCGGTAATAAATGGGATAGTTTTGCTATTTTATTTAATGTTGTTTTACATTAAGCAACTGTGTATTTGCACATCAAATATCTTGTGATTGATGAAGATGCTTAAAATCTGCCTGATAAATCTTGTCCTTGTAGAAATTCTGAGTTAATAACTGCAGTGACCTGCTGATTTAATGTCACCTCTTTTTTTAATAATTTGAGAAGGGATGCAGAGATGTTTGTGTTACTTTACAAATTTACACAAAAGGGTCTCAAAAGAGTTTATAGTGTGAGAGACCAGCGAGATACATATGTGAAGGTGGCATGTTCACAAGGGATGTGACATACTGGAATAAAACTGCAGTTTGATAGTGTCTAGAGCAGAGGAACAAAAAAACTGGATGTGTTATAAATCGATGTTTACATTTTTACCTGAATTGTATCGAAGCAACAGCTGTAGTATTTTCTTTTAACTTCACTTTTTCTTTCTCTGTTTGAATCTCCTCAGGTTTTGGACAAGCTTCACGGTCAGAGCCGGTCAGTCAGAGCCGGTCTGAGAGTGTGTGAAGGGGTGTGTCTGAGGGTCCCGTCGCTAACTGCAGCAGGCGGCAGGTGGAAGGACTCAGAGGCAGCAGCAGCGACGGAGGCGGGGAGGGAGTCGCAGCCGGATCAAGATGACGTCGGTGGCGGCAGAGTTCGAACACATGGAGATCCAGCAACAGTTCAGCGATGGAGTCAACAATCGCTGGGACGCTGACGACTGGGACAACGAGAACAGCTCAGCCCGCCTGTTTGAGCGCTCACGCATCAAAGCCCTGGCAGGTTGGTTGTTAGTGTTTCCAGAGCTAGCTGGCTCTGATGTTCAGCTGCTGTTGGATGTCCTGGAGTTGTTTTCAAACTTGGTTTAACTTATCCAGACTTTCATGCTGTAATCAGGCTAAAGTAATCCTGCTGTCGTCAGTCAGCTAAACTGATACTTTAAAGCAGTTTGAGGATTTAATCTGTGAATGTTGAATGGAGTTAGACTAAACTATGGTGTTATTGCTTTTGAAAACAATGTTCTGAGGAATTAATAACATATGGAGTATTAAGATTGATCCCATCATGCACTGGGTACGATGAGTATTGCTGTGTTCCAGATTTGAGCTTTTGTGAGGGACGCCAAAAAAGTCTTTTTCAGTAGAATGCCATGAGCTTTTACATCTGACACTTTAAGCATGGCAGCACTTACAGATGTTTGTAACTAGCAACATTCCTCTTAAAAAGACTTATTCTTGTGATTGATGGTTATTCATCAAGAGGCTCCACATTTAACAACAGTCTGCTTTATGTAAAAATGTAATGAGACTATTACAGGTTTCCAGCAGTAATTGGGTAATACTGAGTTTATGTCTTACGATTTAGGATTGATTTTTATCTTAATCTTGTTATGTAGGTTTCCGTTGAAGATTAGACTTATCAGTGTGAGAATTACTTGATAATTACATTGTAACTTACACCGATAGACCGTAAAAGTTGGCAAATTTGTAATAATCAAATTTGACTCACTGACAAGAACTCATACCCCCCAAATATTGGGCTTCACACACTATCACTTGCTAAATGAGTTAGCAGTACTGTTTAATCGAGTTAACATCATGTAAGTCTGGGTTAATTTAGGAGGAAGCAGTTTTTTTTATCAGATCTTGGATTTTGTTGTTGTCACTTCTTTGGGTTGTCTTCATCCTGCGTGTTTTGTGTTGACTTAGTGGGAGTCTGAATGGTTTTGTAAGCCGTGGGGTCGCAGAGTTTGTGTCAACACTGAGAACAATGAATCCTCTCACAAAACAAGTTGCAACATTAGAATTTCTCCCTCTCGAAATAAGAAACATAATACTAGAGGATGAAAATGAAACTTTAACTTGTAATTTACGTCTATTTGCGGTGCCGAGCTTGTGTTTTTTGACCGCAGTGGTCACGTTTGGAAAAGCCGATGATTCATTAGTACAGATGTTAGCTGTGTGTTTGCTGCTGACTTCCTACAGACTTTCCCACTCTAACACTGCCCTCACACCTGTTAATAATCGTAGTAATGAGAGCTAATAAGGCTTATTAATGAGAGTCAGCCTGGAGGACTTTAAACACCTCTGGTTCCTGTTGCACTTTCATTACAAGTGTCTGGGATCCAGATTACATTCACATGACATGTACAATATACACTTTCATGGAATCTATATTTGTTTGATCCTAAGAGGTCAAACAACCCTCTGTGTTAGTTATTATCACAGGTGGAAGCTGGCAGTACAGGGTACTTTTTAATTAAAAAAAAAAGGGGGCCTGTGTCCGCTTACATTAGCATCAACATCCTCAATTTCACTGTTGTGTGTACAATAATGAGTAAGAGGCTTGTTTGTTTTTGTTGCCACTGACACACTGACACTTAAAAAGTACAGTAACTCACTCACTGACATTGTAGCGCAGTGGTATGGTGGAATATGAACAATTTTAAAGGGATGGGAATACAACAAGTATGAACCAGTGCAGAGAGGATTTTTGCCACACTGTGCTAAAAATATCAAACTGCTGGAACTGCCAGCACAAGAATGCAGTCAGTGGGCACAGGCCCTTAATCAGTCAGTTGTGCTTCCAATAAATCACTTCGTTATTCAGTCGGAAAGATAAAAATAGTACCCTTTATTCTTTGCTTTTTGTTGTTGACATATAACAAAAATAAACGAACAAAAATCTAATTTTATCTTTTGTGTCCAAAATTTAAATTTAATCTGTCCATAACTTCTTATTCAAGCACCAATTTCTCACAACATCCACTTTCACCTTTCTATAAAACTGCATACAAATAGTATTTACTTTATTCTGGCGTTGAACCCTATGGAAGACCTAATAAGATGTTAACATCTCATCAAATCCAGGAAACAGGTTCTTTATCAGGATCAATAATCTGCATTTGATGATGCCGAGTTTTTGTGAGTGTGACCATAATAGTGCTGATTGTTGATGCTCATGTCCCTTAAAGTGATAACGTGTGTGTGTGTGTGTGTGTGTGTGTGTGTGTGTGTGTGTGTGTGTGTGTGTGTGTGTGTGTGTGTGTGTGTGTGTGTGTGTGTGTGTGTGTAACAGTAACTCAACCTTCCTCTCTGCCTGCTGTTTTTATCCTGATGGCCGACTGCTTCAGTAGTGTCCCACTTCACTAAATAATTCACACCAGTGTTAAATATGCACGAGAAGGTTGATGATGATGTGTCTAAGTCTGTGTGTAAGTGTGTGTGTGTGTGTGTTTGTGTGTGTGTGTGTGTGTGTCTGCACGCGCATGTGTGTCATAGTGAGCTTGAACAAATGTAAGTGGGACTAGCTTGTGTTTTCTGATTGCACCAGCTCAGATGCATGAAGACATTTTTAGTCATAGTGTTAAATTAAATGATACCTAAGTCAAAGTTTGTATGAAACAAAGTGTATTTGGAAATAAGATGTAATGAACGCTTTGACCAAAATTGTTATAACTGTGAAATGTTGTGTATTCTCAGCTGTAAAATATAAATAGAGAGAGAGAGTTACATCAGTGGATTTGTTCCAAAATAACTTCAGGTTTTGCTTACATTTAAGACTGACAAACAAATTGCAAAGGTTCAATCTGTATTTGCTGACAGTACATACTATAGCTCACATTTCAAGGTGCTCAGACTGCAAACTCAGTTGTTTTAGTAACTCAGTTCTTTAGTTTCATAAATTTCAAACTATTTTTGGCTCTCTAAGGTCTTTGGTGTTCAGTGTTTGGTTACACTATTTACAGTGAAGTTTCTTGACTCAAGTCTTCAATATTCAGCACTGAGGTTGCAGTCAGTGGTGTTGTATGATGCTGCATCATCACCGAGCTGTTTATAATGTTCTTACATACTTAAGTTTGAAAATAGGTTGGATAGGATATTCATACAAATATATCTGGACTGATGTCTTAAGTCTGAATTAAGACAAAACTGATGCATTCAATTAAAAAAGAGGTTTAAATGTAAACCTAATAAAGTGGACATAGAGAGTGCAGTATCTTCTGTTGTTGTTTTTCACTGTATACAGTCAGGCTCTCTCTGCTGTTTTTAAAGTGATAAAAGCTTTCATAAAAGCTTTCTTCAAGCCTTTCTTCTTCTGCTTCCTCATCCCTCCTCTTTGCTCTCTCTTCCTGTCTGTGCTGAGCTCAGCAGGCTGGACGATGTGTGGGCTGATGACATTGAATCAGCACTGTATGTGATACAGGCACAGTGTGTGTTTGTGTGTCTGTGTGTGTGTGTGTGTTTGCGTGTGTCGGTGTCCTTGTCCTTTGATTACAGAGAGTGTTTCCTTTGTTTCCACTGTAAATCATTTGAATACCAGATCACTAAAGTAACAACCAGCACTAGCTCAAGGAGTTCTGCCAGCTGCTGTTATAGAAGATGTGGTTCAAGTCAGACCGGTTTTATCAGGACAAAATGCTTCTGTATATCACTATGGCAACCCTAAGTGAGGCGCTGAAGGTCCATCTTTTTCACCTGGCTGCTAATGTGGAGTTATGTTTTAACCCTAGCTGTTTTTTTAGATACACAAACACAGTTTTAAAGGTACAGTGTGTCAAATGTCTGGGACTATTTAACAATATCTAGCCGTCAAATTGTAGAATAAAACACTCCCTTGCTCACTGCTCCTGTTGGAGTAGTTCCAGAACAGACAGTGGCTTTTATTTTTTTGATACTTTTTTTTGATTGATTTTCTTCAACAGTGTATAATACAGTATATGTGGGGATGAAAGGGGAACATACAGAAAAAGGAAAAATAAAATAAATAAAAATTAAATAACTAAGTTACTGTCATGCATGAGAATTATGGTCCTCCTCTTGTCAAGTTTTCTTTCAACATGTTAAAACTCTGGCAGCATTTTTGAATGAGCAGTTTTCTTATCAGGCAAACCAGTAAAAAGGGGTGGTTTATGGTTTTTTAAACAGTGTGATAAAAGCATAAATAAAAAAATTACAGCATCTTTTTGGGATTATAAAGGTCGATGTGCTTATGACCATGTTAAAATGGGGTGTGAAATTTAAATAAGGATCCAAAAAGCCCTCCCAGATTGGTATTGTTGATTTGATTTGCCTGTTTTCTGTTTCGTCTTTATTTAGTTTAAAGAAGTTCTAACTCATCCATACATTATGTCTGAAAGACACTTCCAGCTCCCTTTTGTGGCCACCCTATGTCTTTATAGAAATATGAGAATAATGGATGGCAGCCTCCATGGATAGGGACCCACTCTTCTGGTGGTTGAAACAAGGTTAATTTTAAATCAACAAAAGTAAAGGTTAGGTTAATATCGAATTATTCATTTAAACTTTAATACCATTTTAACCAAGTGTATTCCACTAAATGTGTCTGATTTCTGCACACTGTCTGAAGAAACTGTCTGTTTAATGTGGAGGAATCAAGACATGTGTGGCCACTATCTTGAGTTTCAGTAAATGCTATGACATGTTATGAACCAAATAACTAATGAACTGATCAAACAAAAATAGTCATAAGTTATGGTGTTAAGCTGCATCTCTAGCAGTGTACAGGTTGAGGAACTTGACAGAAAGCTCTCAGATAGTGTGAGTTTCTGTCATTCAAACCTTCAGCAGATCACCTGAAAACTGATGCTGAGACCTGAACATCTACTGATTCTCCTAGTGTGTGTGTGTGTGTGTGTGTTTGGGAAAGAGAGAGCGAGAGAGAGAGAGAGAGAAAGAGAGAGAGAGTGTAGTACTGGAGCCAAGTGTGTTACGCCTCCATATGATATGCTGGGAAACACAAAACCGCCGATCACCATGGAAACACAGACAGATCTACTTACAGAGAAGACAGAGACAGAAGGAGTGTGTGTGTTTGTTTAGTGTGGGTGAGATATTTTTTGTAGGAGTGTGTGTATGTGTGTGATATTGATCTCACGACAGTAGCTCAACATGGAGGGCCCGCTGGCAGTGCGGCGCAACCCGCACCCGCATTTCAGGGTCCGCTCCCCATCCTGCTGCTGCTGCAGCGGCAAGGCTGAACAGATGATTTATTTTCGTGGTCAGATGAATTATTGACTTGGAAATTTTAAACAAAAAATAAAAGAAACTTTCATTCAAAATTACCTGTTTATCTGATGTTCCCAAATCCCTAAAATTATGTGAATATTCAATCCAAAGTCAGGCCTACATATGAATATTAAAATACTCAGTTTTGTGCGCCAAGTTCGTTTTATATACCAACGTCTATAAGAGAAAAAACCAGGCCATAGAGCATGACGCGTCCTTTACGCACAGGTGGTTCCGATTTAAATGCCATTATTAGTGTTTATGTTGTTATCTGTGTGCACAACCCACCTGTGTCATGTGGGGTTATGCAACTTCATATGATTGTCTCTATTTGTGGAAAAGGGTGTCTGTCTTACCAGTGGGTCCAACCTTACACACACAAAATCCCTCTGTGCTTATTTGAGAGAGTGTGGAGGCTGCCCTCTGCAGCGCTTACCGCGACACTTGTTGAGGGGCTGCCTTCTGTCGCCATCGTGTGGCATTGTAATACGAAAATTGTAATACGCCTCGCTGGTGGCAGATTTAAAGGTGTGGGGAGGAGCTGATGTGATTGGTGAAAACAGGACTCGGCTGTGTTAAACCCACTCCACACCTTAACCCCTCCCTATCTGCTACTTACGCCGCTGGGAGGAGCTGAGTCTGGGAGGCGGGATACTTACGCCGACCTGAGCTGCTCACCAAAATACCAAAGTGTGCTTGGGCACGCCGCTGACGAGGCATGAAATTAGAGCCCGCAGTGTGTATGGTAACCCTCACTGTGTGTTCTTCCAGTGTAAAGTTTTATGCGTCAGATCTTGATTTGACTGGTTTGCAGCAGGCTGAAAACTGAACAAGAGTTGTCTCTCAGTGAAACTTCTCTCTGCAGACTGTGCTGGAGCGTGGCTGCTGCGGCTCTGAGCTCTTTCTGGTAACTCGGCTCACTTCTGTGTTCAGAACAGCTCACAATAACCACAGGCTGGTAGTTGAGTGGGAGGAGGAGGAGGAGGAGGAGGAGGCGGCTGTGTAGGCCGGCTTCTTCTACTCATTTCCAGGACCTACTGAATTGTGGCTTTGAACATGTGGAAAGATTTGAGGCAGTGTGTGTGAAGTCTGTCATCAAACAGTTCCCAATTTAACGCAGTGTCAAGTTATGACTTGTAATCATCTAGAGCGGAGAAATCAGGCTACTGTTGCCAAATGGAGTTGACGTGTTTGTTAAAAAATGAAGGCTAAACTTGGATTATTTCCATTATCAGTTGGTTATGCATGAGGAAATTCCTCCTGTGAGTTAGTTCCCAATCACAATGAGTTGCACTGCAGAACTGGACTCTAGATGAAACCAGTGAATGGCCTGAAGCGCTGAAGCAGTAAGTAGAGCTTCAGTGTCAGTGTCTGCTAAAGTGAGTGGGCAGCGATGCAGATTTGAACACCAACAGAATGAGCAGGACCCCGACACAAAGGGCGTTCTGAGTTAAAACATAAACCTGCTTATGTGTGAGAGCAAAGTAAACTGCTGAAGGAAAGAACTCTAAATGTAAATGATACCAATCTCACAACTTTTCACACAAAGTTTCTTAGAAGTGATTGGCTTCGCAAAGATGCACTCTCCTGCTATGCTGTTGCCTGGATTGCAGGACGGTATCTTGCCTTGTTTTTCTCTATTAGAGTCAGTTGGGTTTGGTAGCTGTTAG